ATTGGCTGGTGTCAATCAATGGCCGCCGGTAGCGGCACTCGGCCCCAGCTGCCAAGGCCGCGGTCCGCAATCCAGCCTATTGCAAGAGAGATCAGTGGTGCCGAGTCTACACGTCTAAACTAATGGGCGCCCGAGCTCTGTGGTGGCCATCTGCTCGAGCATGTTGTTACCGAAATCGCAAATCTCCCGTTTTTTTTTTTGGTGGTTTTTAGTATGCTTACTAGGTGGCGCCAGAAGCAGTCCAGTTTTATTTTAGCGTTTTTTATACGTCCACTTACTGCGTAAAAAAACCATACCCACTATGGCTAGTAGGAAAGTAACCGCTCCCTAAAATGGCGCTGCTAACACAGCCACTCAGTTCTTTCGCTGCCTCTTTCAAATACCGATTCCTACGAGGAAAGCCGCGTTGCTTCCGTACACACGAAGTACTGATGGATACGCCGAAACCGCGCGTTCTCGTGTCTAACGCTGCTTCTTGCGTGAAAGAGGTGAGAGTTACAGTCCGGAACGACGGCCGGGTCGGTGTCGGAGCGATTTGTCGTGCTTCAAATTTTTAAGCCCATGGGCGATAACATATTTCTTTATTTGAATACTATCCGGTCTTGGTGAAAATGCAGCCGGAATGAGGTCCCGGAGGTCGGGTGAACCGATACGCCGATTGGAACTTGTGTACAGAGAAAGACGTGGCATGATGCAGTCTCTTCCAGTGTCGCGTAATCGCCGTACTGTATATGGTGTCGGTGCTTCGGGGCGGGTGCCTGCCGCGGTTTAGCGCGCATGGAAGACTAAGGATGGCCGTGTGCAACCTAGGCTTTCACGCTGGCGAAAAGACGTTTAATACGCTGGGCCTCACTCCTAGCTCCCGCCTCACGTCAAGCGGCCGCCATTTTATGAGGACGTCGCAAGAAGCAGCCGTATAGATGTGCGACCGCGGAAGGAAGTACACGTTCAAAGGAGTTTATTTCACATAAGACCTCGCGCATAAAAAATACACCAAGCCATACGTGCCCGCCCTGTCAAAACCGTTTACGCGTCCAGAGGTGCCGATTTTTGCTAACCATGCAGTCTTTCTGCACGCGCAACAACCGCGCTAATGGCGCATTCACACTGGAAGCGGATCAGCGAGCGACCCCGTTCAGACACACCGAGAGGCGGTTGGCGGTTTCTCGGCGATCACGCGTAATCTTTTGAGACTTGCGTTTGGCAACCCTGTTGTACAATTCAAAATCCACTTTAATTGAAGATCCAAAGCCAAAGTTTTGCTATTTTTTCACTCGGAATATTTTTCTCCGGGATGTTCGCGCGCATCACGAGTTCAGGCAGCGAAAAAAGAAGCATGGACACGACAAACTCGCCTGTGATTCCCTCGACTTCACCCACAAGCAAAGCCAAGCTAGGCGCGCCTTGCTGACTCAGAACAGGATGCCCCCGACCTTTTCTTCGAAGCGGACCCTACCCGCATGAATAGCTGACCTTGTTTTCGGGATAGAGGGCCAGTTTTCCCCCCCTCGGCCCTCGTTGTTGTGAGCGGTGGGGTGAACCGTGGTGCGGGGGAATGTGTTCGTTGCTAGCCGGTCGTGGCTTCGTTGGTGGCGGAATCTCCTCTCGTCACTCGCTCGTCGATCGAGTCCACTGTTTGCTTGACATTAAGCTCAAATAAACGCCGTATGGATTACCTCAGCATTGTCTGGTACGTACGCTTTATTCCTTGAGTAGGTTCCCTTTATTTATTTTAGTAGTAACCGTTACAGCTCGAGCTAGCGCAGGTACCCTGCCCCCTCCGCGGTAATGCGTTGGCTACTCAATCAAGCTCACGACGTCTCTATCGGCCTTCGTGGTGGTCATGGACGGTGTCGAAGGCTTTCAATAGTTTACGCGAATGTCCTAGTGGGTAGAAAAGCTGACATTTCGGTCGACCAGGGGCGGGCTCCGACGTTCTACAGGCAGAGATTAACAAGGCAGCCAGCTTGGGCTATGACACCCGGAATAATAAACAAACGCTTACCCGAACCAAAATACCGGTGCGAAGCCCGTTAAAATTACTAGTCAATTCTTTTTGCGGCGGATTCAAGTGACAGACGTGAATATCAAGTTTCTCCGTTGATTTGTCGAAAGCTAAGACTACAGCGCTAGGACTAGAGCGCCTTGGACGCCTCACCAGCGACAAGTGCCATCTTGTTTCGAAAGTCACTGACGTCACGTCGCGTTGTGATTGGTTGCCGCTTTGCGGTTCGTAAAAGCGGTTGGGAGATATCGGCCCCGAAGCGGTTGGCAAAAACGCGCTCCAACCGCTCGATCCTAGCCGAGTTGAGAACGCGAGGATCCGCTTCGCGAACGCGGATCCGCTTCCAGTGTGAACGCACCATAAGAGTCTGTGCGAGCAGAGCACGAGGTGGCACTAGATACCTCGTGAACTGGCGCCTGCCCCCTGTGAACTAAAGTCATGGCGGATCATGGCACTGGAAGCGGATCGGCAGCCGCAAAGCGGATCCGCGCATTCTCAACCGCAAAGCGCCTGGAATTGAGCGGTTCGGGCGCGCTTTTGCAGACCGCTTCGGGACCGATTTCTCCCGACCGCTTTCCCAAAGTGCGAAGCGGCAACAAACCTCAGCTCGACGCTTACGTGACTTCGGTGACTTTTGAAACAAGATGGCATCTGTCGCTGGGGGGGCGTCCAAGGTGCTGTAGTCCTAGTGTTGAAGCAGGTAAAGAAACAAAGAAACGTGATGTTGACGTCCGTCACTTGAATCCACCGCGAAAAGAATTGACTCGTAATCTCAACAGTCTACGCTCCGGTTTTTATATTCGGGTAAGAGTTTTTCTTTTTTAATTTTTTTTTTATTCGAGGTGTTAAAGCCCGTCGCCCTCTGCCTTGTTAGTCTTAGCCCGTAGGAGATCGGAACCCACTCCCGATCGATCGAAATGGCAGCTTTTGTGACCACTAAGACAGTCGCGTGAACTACTTAAAGCCTTCGGCACAGTGCGTGACCACCACGAAGGCCAAGAGAGACGTCGTGAGCCCATTAGCGTAGCCAACGCATTACCACGGATCTGGCAATAACCTGCGCTAGCTCGACCTGTAACGTTTACTACAACCAAAAGAAGTAAGGGGACCCACTCAAGAAATAAAATGTACTTGTATGACGATGTATAAGAAATCCATACGGCATATATTTGAACTTAATATCAGACAAGTAGTCTCGTTCTGCGTACGAGTGACAAGAGGAGAGTCCGCCACCAACGAAGCCACAACCGGCAAGCACCGAACACATTCCTCCGCCCCACGATCCACCAGTGCCGCTCATAACTCCGGAAATAGTAAGAGCGAACAATGCGGAGGAAAAGGTTTCCTTTTATACCCCCCTGCCCCCCCCCTCCCCCCCCCCCCCCCCCCCAAAAAAAAAACAAAAAAAAAAAATGTCTGCTATTCATGCGGGAAGGGCAACTTGGAATAAAGTGTCGGGAGCATTCTCTTCTGCGTCAGCAAAGCGCACCTGCGCCTGGCTGGGCTTTGCTTGAATACGAAGTCGGGGAAATCGCCGGAGGGGTTTGTGGGTACACGTCTCTTTTTTCGCTGCCCGAAACTCGTAATGCGAGCGAACAACGACAACCCGGAGAAAAATCTTTAGAGTGCTGAAATAGCTCTCTGTGGTCTCCAACCAGTCTCCGACAGCGTTGCGAAAAACTGTCGGTCGTCTCTTCTCTCCTCCCTTCTTTCTCTCTCGCTCCTTCAGCGCTCTCCTCCTTTTCATTTACTTTTCTCCTCTCCGGCGCATTCGCCGCCACACCCACTGGCCAAACTCTCCTAATACACGGCTCTGCCGCCAACGACCGGGCATACGGCGCCGAGAGCCGGCGTCTTAGGAGACGATCTTTTTGACTCAAAAGCGGGGCGCGTTCCGTCGGCGGCGACAGTCGCAGAAACAAAAACAGGCGCGGTAACAACAAGGAACTACAGTGGCTTAAATCGGGTAGTGTGGTTATCGCGTAGCATCCACCATGCATCGGGAACGGCCGCTCCTTGGGAGACGGTGTAGGTGGCGCTTCGATCCGCAGCTCCTTTGGGTGCCTCAATCGGCCGGCAGATAGAGGAATCCTAACACGCTTCATAACTAATATAAATACCTCAAAAACAATTATTTGTTTCCAGCGAACTTCCAACGACATGTTTTGTGTTTGAAGGAGAATAAAACTGTGAAGCTAGAAAACGACAGTGTAGTCGACAGTTGCGAATCGGCCGGAGCTGGCCGGAGCCAAGCTGGCCAAGAGGCCAAGCCGGAGCCATAGCCGGAACGACGGTGCTGCAAGCGCCAGCGCCACCCGCGGCCGTCTTCCAACGCTGTGCCGCTTCTCCGGTTTCGTTCGTTACACTACCCTGTTTAAGCCACTCTAAAGGAGCTGCGGTTCTTTGTCTGCTAAAGACGCCGGCTCTCGGCGTCGTATGCTCGTTCGTTTGCGGCAGCTGGCGTCGCGACCGCTTGCGCCATCTCTTGTCTCCCGTGCGAAACGGTACCGTGTTGTTTGAAGACCGGTGGCGTCGCTGCGTTTCCATAGGAGCTAAGCATTTTTCTTTCTTTACTTTTTCCTCAGTAAGTTCGCTCTAAACAAATTTTAGAAAAACAAAAAAAGCACCATCTGTGGGCAACGCCGCACAAAGTCGTAGCGCGATAGGTTAAGAAACCGAATTTTGCGGCCGTTTTGAAGAGCCTGGCGTCTTCTTGAATCACCCTGTAATATTTACTCATTTAGTGGTTTTCGTCGTTCGATGACATTCAGAGAGTGTCTGATTGGAATCATATATTTATCTTCAATCATTAAAAAGGTCATCAACATATTTTTGTTAAATGACTGATTGCTCCTGAGAATTATCGACCTATAATATGTCCCCCCGACCGTAAAACTCACATGTACAGTCCGCATTAGAGTAGCTTTCATGTCTTTTTTTTTAAACATATGTGTAAGGCCGTAAAGAAATCAGCCTGTATTTCTTAATCACATACCTTCCATGCATCTTGCAGGGGCCCAAGTCCTGGGTAGTTGAATGTCGGTCGGTTATTTGGGTTTCTTATGGTCATATTTTTCGTCCAGTGAAAGCTGGGTGTCCAGGCCTCCATCGTAGGCCACACCGTAGTTGCGATGACACACGCGAACAGCACAGCGTAATGCAAGCCCATTGCAGAGGAGGCTTTTCACATTCGCTACAGCTTCGAGATCGACTGAACAGTGCTTAAGTAATATAAGAAGTTTGTGTTTTTTTTAATTTTTTTTTAATTTTAAAGTACAGCTGTATCGGATATAGCTGACATGTTTGACAAGACTCCGTTGAGAGCTAAGCATTCTTCAGAGAGCGCCGTTGGTTACGTCAGGAGCGACTTCACAAAATCGATGAAACAGGTGTTCGCCATAAACAGCAGAATACAAAAAAAAAAAATATTCCAGAAGTAGCTTTGTAAAGCAATTATGAATTTCGTTTTTACCGACGCCGTCGTTGCTTTGGTGTCTGTGGTTGCGGCAAACACAAACGCCTGTAACAGCATTAAAGCGACATACCCGACATTCATATTTCGCCGTACACGTTTGAATAAACCCAAAAATTAACTGACGCGATGAAGAAAAAAACTGTAATTGTGCGGCGGATGGGCGTATTCCAGATCAAGACAATCACCCTAAGTCTTTATCGCACCCCGGCTCGCACTGGCGTGGGACATTTATGATCAGGAACAAGGAAACGAGATACGACGTGGCTAACTATGGACATGAAGTCCTATGCAACACAATGCTTGGCGGAACCCAATAGCCTTATTACCGCTCAGGAAACCGATTACATTTCGGTATTTTTTCTGATATCAACGCCCACGAAGAAATCATAACACGAGTACAGTGAGCGTAGTAAGTCACACGCCTAGCATTTCTTAAGCCGTCAGTGACTACATATAGGCTGTCCCAAGTCACCAGGCTCGAGCTAAAACAGACCGTAAAAATCGACGCCTGCATGCAGCAATCTAATTTCCTTCTCTTCGAGTTCACAATGTTTTAGTGAATACTGAAATCTAGTTTGATCTAAGTGAAGAAGACCATGCCACACAAATTGGAGTTTCAATGTAACAGTAGTAACCAATTACTATGCTCCAAGTCATTAAAGATATTTAAAAATCGCATGATATCGCATGTGATACACCGACAAAATTCAGACTTCACTCATAACACCATATATTTAAAAGAAATACTAAAGTAAAAATTGGAAGCCAAGGAAGGAAATTCATCCGAAAGTAATTTTTAACTTGTTACTTAGACCTGATATTTTAACTCGCAAATGACACCAGTAATAGACGAAGTGAATGGAAGTTTATACTTCACACATGATTTGCTGACGTATGCGTATGGCCCGCCGTCTCAGAAGTAACCATCTTGATACCGCAGTCTACATCGTCTCTGACAAACACAAAACAACTCGGCGTTTGCGAATGCATACGCTCGCGACCAAGTGCACATATTCAACATGGTCAACCCTATGTTGGCTTTCTGCACCGAAGCTGCATTTAGGCCCAGGTTAGTATATGTGAATCATGCATCCGCGGCCCGTCGAGGCCGTCACAAAACATGAATGTCACGGTCCTCTAACCAACGATGCTAGATTCGTTTCCAAAGAAGCTTAGCAGACATCCACGAGGTGCAACTTTCTAAGAGTTTATTGGTTGGAAGATTAGTTTTCCAGCACTTACCAAGAAAATAGTGATGCTTCTGGGGTGCTGATATAACAGAGGCCACCTCTGAGCAATAAAGTTAGAGTTAATACTCTAAAACTTTTAAAGTTCGCGACCCCTTCATTTTCATGAATTTCGCGAATGAAAAAATCCTTGAAATTTAATAGCACGCAAAAATTTCGGTCCTAAAGAGTTTTACGGCAGGCGTCTGGAATTCGCGAAATTTAGTTGCGCGATTATGTCCTCTGTGACACCTCTAAGGACGCCTCCAACGATCTTTCGACTGGTTAAAAACTTGAATTGAGACTGACCTCAGACAAAATATTAAAACAGAGAAACAGTCACGTTGGCCAAATTCGCATGATTTTGTAAGTTATACGCAAATTGTAACCACGAAACCCACGATGTGCATGGCACCACCGTTGGCAGGCGCGAAGCGAACTGCGCTCTCTCCGAAGACCCACCATATTGTCTCTATACAATAGTGACTCTAACTTTGACAGGCCTTCCTCATATTGAAGAAGGTGTGGGAGATGATAGCCGAACTCGTTTTGGAAAGGTCACCGCAGTAGCTGGAACTCGGCTCCGCTGGGTGGTGGGCTTAATGAGGTGTTGTTTATTTTGTTTCCACATATTTCGAACTTAATTTTTTTAAGTTAATAACTCTCAAAGATCTATATGAACTACTTTTATAAAGAATTAAGATGGTTAACACAATTATACTTATTATTTTTCTTTCAGAAGGAGGTAGGATAATGCCATCAGCCGCGCGCGTTTAACGCCACACAGCTCCACCATACATCTAAGTGTTATCTACCCCATCGTATTAAAATGTGATACACTACTATTTTGTGTTTGGTCTTTGTTCCCTCAGTCTCCCAAACCACTAAGAAGGCGAATAAAAAAAAGGCTAAGAAATCATTGCAGGTGAATTTCAAGGAGGAAGATGCATGCTCAATACTTCAGCTTGCTGGTTTCTCTAAATTAAAATATGGAAATTGAGATGCGTTTTTAACCACTTTCTTTTGAAAATGCTCCAAAGTGTTACTGATTAATATTTTGTACCTCATTAGGACAGAAACGACACAACACCATGCTTCACTGCTTTTTGTTTACCCGGGCAGTGTTTTTTCTGGTTTCAAAATATCTTAAATAGCCATGAATAAGGGCAGCCATTTTAGCCTAGTGTGTAGAAGGTTATATAAGAGACTCTGGTATTTATCACGGCATTTTCAGCGCGGCCATTTGACGGCTGAGAAAGCCTCGTGGTTGCAACAGGGATGCTTAATTAAGTGTGAAAATGGTCGTATTCTTCGTTTGTTTTTGTCTGCTTGGTTGTGAGGAAGAATTCGAGAGCGGCAGAAGCTTGTATTCAAAGCGCAAAATGCCGTTTGTGAGAGGTCAGTTACTTGCATAGTCTCGCATTTTACTTTCGCTTTTCACTTTTTTGGCAGAGAACAATAATTGTCTGTCGCAACTTAGATGCCAGCATTAAAGCTGTCCCGAGGAGGTTTCTGAGATCGTCCAAATATGGCAATAACTCACTCTGCTGGCTCTAAGCATCCTAAAGCCTCTAAATCATGACGATACGCGCCCGACTTTCCTGTTTCAAAAGCGATCAAAGCTCGCAACACACCGAGGTCATTTCCGGCGTTGGGAGGAGCATGTTCCGGAACCAGAACCACTGCCAGTCACAGGGCGTGTTTCTCTTACACTCGTCCCCAGCCACCTGGTAGGCATACCCGGAAAGGGCGACAAAAAATTGTGAAACATTTGAACCTGCAAATGGTAAAAAATAGAAGGCAGACGAAACTCGGATGAGTGATGGCTATGCTTCTATCCTAAATCCATCATATTGGCGTGGCGACGGCAAAACAAAGTTTTCGCCAATACTACAAGTGACGATATTTGAAGATGACGGCGCCTTTGTGATATAGGCCTGTAGCAAGCGAAGGATGTTCGCGCCCCCAACCGGTGGAACCTCGAAGTATATCTCGAATGCGCGCGGCTCGTTGCTGATACAGCCCGGTCTAGGATTCAACCCAGGGAGCGCGCGCTCGAGAGCTGGCGAACGGACACATCACTCCCGCGGAAGACAAAAAAAAAACAAAAAAAAAAACAGAGTGCATTGTTTTTGATACGATTGTTGCAGTATCATGTTCGCTCTCCTTGAAAAATTAGATCTTTCGACTGCTCTTATTTCCTTTTATCATCTACAAAATCATACGTGTTTTGTAATAACAGCGTTTGCAATCTCAACGAAATGTCCCGTTTTGATTGGTCACATGTCGTTCTGCCTGCCGGAACAATGATCCTCTCATTGCCGGAAATGACCTCGGTGTGTTCGATTTTTGACTGCTAATTTAATAAAAAAATCGGCCACGCATCGCTATGATTTCACGATTTCTAGGATGCTTATTGCCCGCAGAGCAGACTCGTGCCAATCTCAACTACTCTACTCAATATAGTGTATTTCAAATACACTTTCAAGCATCTTGGTATCTTGTAAACACCTTTGTTGGAGAGTATTTGATACTCTATTTTAATTAATATTCTAAGTATCTAGTACTAATTTTCTCAAAAACATTTTTCACATTCCGCCATTTTCCGAGTTTTTCCGCATCAAGTGGCATGGGCGTGGCGAGCAAAAGTAAACATTCTTTTGAGCAACCAAATCCTCTTGCTAGCTCCGATAAGCTACGATGACTTAAACTGAGCTCGTGAAAACATCGCTATTGTGCCAATTGTTACTCATACTTCACAGCAAAGTTCGTACAATGAAGGTTTCCCCCTCACCTTCCCAAAGGCGGGTTTCGTTTCCATAGAGTTTCCCCCCAAAAAATCCTCAAAGTGAACGTGTGGTTTTACGGAAGTAAATATTCTACCCTGAGTCGCATCCCAGACCGGGAATCGACCTACGACAACCATGCAGACTTGAGTGTCAAGAAAATAACAAATAAGAAAAAAGAGAAGTGAACAAAAAAAAAAATTTTTGTTTTGTTTTTGTATATTTAACCCGCTAGGGGCAAACGGCGAGGTTTTCTTTAGTTTCTTTTCTTTTTCTCTTCACTCTGTCAACTACTGCTCTCGCGAACACTGTCGGTGAGCAAACACTGATAACTAGAGAACAGCACAGGAAACGCATTAAAAGCTGGATGACCTCTCAAAATGCCAACAAAGCGTCTCGCAACGCTCAGTGCCTTTCTGAATTCAACCTAATAGAAAAAGGTGCGACCACTGCTGTGGCTATTATGTGGGTTTTCTTTGTGATCCATTCACTCATATCTGTATCCCAAGTTCGTTTATAGTGAACTCCCCATATGGGGAATATGGATTGTAGTTAAAGGATGCGTCTAAGGTGCGCCCATTACGTGATATTAAGGGATGTCACTATTGGCGAGGCGCTCTGACCCGTTTGTCACCCTCACACATCGATTTTTATCCAACACAAGGACTGTGCACAAGCCCGC